ATTATGTAATTTTGGAGATGTTGAAGAAAATGTACATTTATGAATATAATATTTTCCCAATAAAATAAACACATTTCCTATATATTCTTTGTTATGTTTACAATGAGGAAAATAACACAATATCTCACACGTAGTAACATCAATGTCTACATTCCTTAAAAATTCCTTAACAAGAGGACATTTGAAAAAAAGATATCAAGTCATATGTGTTGTTTTTTATTTATGCAATAGAAGAACAACAAATACAATTACAAAGACAAGTAAGAGCAAAAGACAATAAGGGTTACAAACAATACTCCAAAGCATGCTACGTTAGCTTATAAGATTTACACCATGAAAGAGTCTTACATGCAACAGAATTATTAGAGTTTCTTAAAGAGTTTACATATACATCAAAATCTTTCCTGAAAATAAAAAAGAAGGGAGTTTTCTTTGAAAATGTACACTTATGAATGTAAAATGTAGCAAGATGTAGCAATAGATCAATGATACATTTACACTGAGAAAGATCTCAATTCAAGGAGTAACCAAAAAAACACTATTTTTGGGGTTATACAAAAGTTTGGATATAAATATTTTTTAATAAAATTGGAAAAGTCAACCCAGAACACTTTAGAATAAGCACAGTGAATACATGAGATTTTAATGTATATTAAAATAGAAAGCAGTTAAATAGTAAAAATATTTCACAATGCTTTTGCTGTATTTCTGATCAAATAAATGCAGGCTTGGTGAGCAGAAGAGACTTCTTTCACCAACAAAAAAACATTTAAAATCTTACTCTTCAGAAACTGTTGACTGCTAGTGTACATAAGACCCAAGTCATATGTGTTTGTTTGTTTGTTTGTTTATTGCAAGTATAAACACTTAACATTCAGCAATTAATGTAGCATTGGATGACATTATGAATACAGAAATTATATAGGAAGAAAAAATAAACAAGAATTCATAGATAAAACAAAAAATACAGAGGTAGTAAATCAAAAATAATGTAGCATTCAGCAGATCATTACACAGTTTCACAAACTTGACACTTTTTTTGGTATTAATATGTTTTAGTGTTACAATTAAGTAGTTAAAGTCACAAAGAAAATTATGTAATTTTGGAGATGTTGAAGAAAATGTACATTTATGAATATAATATTTTCCCAATAAAATAAACACATTTCCTATATATTCTTTGTTATGTTTACAATGAGGAAAATAACACAATATCTCACACGTAGTAACATCAATGTCTACATTCCTTAAAAATTCCTTAACAAGAGGACATTTGAAAAAAAGATATCAAGTCATATGTGTTGTTTTTTATTTATGCAATAGAAGAACAACAAATACAATCACAAAGACAAGTAAGAGCAAAAGACAATAAGGGTTACAAACAATACTCCAAAGCATGCTACGTTAGCTTATAAGATTTACACCATGAAAGAGTCTTACATGCAACAGAATTATTAGAGTTTCTTAAAGAGTTTACATATACATCAAAATCTTTCCTGAAAATAAAAAAGAAGGGAGTTTTCTTTGAAAATGTACACTTATGAATGTAAAATGTAGCAAGATGTAGCAATAGATCAATGATACATTTACACTGAGAAAGATCTCAATTCAAGGAGTAACCAAAAAAACACTATTTTTGGGGTTATACAAAAGTTTGGATATAAATATTTTTTAATAAAATTGGAAAAGTCAACCCAGAACACTTTAGAATAAGCACAGT